GGCCTGTCAACCCCACGGGACGCTAGAGCCTCCGCCGTGCTCGGGGGCGCCAGCGCCCACGGCCATACACGCACTGACGGTGTTGTCAGGGCCCCCCCAAGCTGGCCGTCGCCTGGCCAGCGTCTCCGCTGGTTGAGTCGGTCTCGCCCACGGCATAATGCGGGACAGGGGCCCAATGCTCCACCGCCCGGTCGACCTGCTCCAGGAAGGTCCTTCATCAAGTTCACGACCTCCATGCGGCCCCGGCCTGCCGCGCGAGGAACGCGGACGACCTGGCGGGCGCGACAACAGTCGAGGTGGCGTTCTACGAAGTCGATCACCGATTCCATCACCTGCGCACGGGCATTAAGCTTCCGCGCCAGATCGCGCAGCTCGAGCCCGGCAGCTGCGTCTGGGTTGCCAGGCCTCGACATACGCGTCTATATTTCCACTTCCACCTGCGCCTGCTGCAATTCCGCCCCCACCAATTCCCCCCCGCGCCCTTCGTTGCAACGCGGCCATGCATCGCCAGACAGCGCCCCCGCATCCCACGGGGGGGGCCCTCGCGACCCGGAGGGCGCGCGCCGTCAGCGGAGGAGAAACTTGACACGTTTTGTGACTGCGTTTCCGCATCAACGAAATTGCAAGCCACCGTGATCGAACTGTACTTACCAGCCACCCGACTGTCTGACTTACTCTCAACGTTGAAACACATGTCCTCAGGCATGTGGGGCCCGCTGTATTTCGCCCTCTCAGCGCCCTGGAATTCGGCGCACGGGATGACCAGGTGGCCGCTGCTGCTTTTCTCAAGAAACGGAGGATCTCGGCGTCTTTGCCCATCTGAACACTGCGTTGGGCCTCATTCGAGAAAATGATTTTCTCCTACCCATGTTCAAGCACCAAGATCACGCGTCTCCGCTGGAGACTGGCCAGGCCTAGGAGGGCCCAAATGTCAACGCCAGTGCCCCCTGCGACATCGGCGGCGAAGGTGGCCATCTGTTTCTCGTTGAGATCCTCATGGGCAATGGGGAATTCCCCCGGGGCCCTGCAAATGACCGACCCCGCACCAACTCCATTGACATATAGCGTTTCCGCCAGATCGCGGCGCACAGTACGAAAGCCGTGCTGTCTGGCATGCTCCTCAAAGCGCCTGACCGCATCATGTCCGATGTGTATAGTCGAGCCGATGTCTACTAAGATAGACAGTCGGCCATCGGACAGCATGGTTTTGAGCGGGCCCTGAATGAAGACGCGATGACCAGTGGGCGCGCCCACGCCGACGCTGGGCGCGCCCGCGTCGCGTCTCCGCCGTTCTTCGACCGCCCACTCTTCCATGGAAACGCGCCCTGAGGTAAGCTCCAAATCGGCAAGCCACCCGTAGCACTCGTCATCCGTCACAGGCTCGATCGCCCAGATCATCTGGAGATTGGCGCGCACCTGGCGAGCGTGGTGATCCACGCCAGTGACCAGTGGGGGCTCGCGGGCAGCGTTTCCACTCTGCACCATTAACACCGTTTCTCGTCGGGAGCTGGTCCGACTTGGAGCGGCACTCGGTGACTCCACTTGGCGAGGCTGTCCAGGTCTCGGAGGAGGCGGCCGACGCTGGCCTGTGCCGGCGTCGGTGGTCTGCCGCTGCTCCTCGAGCCTCTCCAACAAACGGCCCTCTGGGCCACATAGCCGTGGCACAGGCGTCTTTGTCTGAGCGTCGTCTTGGGTCGTGGTCGTGGACCGCTCATGCGGTGCGCTGTCAGGCGATTTCTCTGGCTGTGGATCGTCGATTCGCGTTTCCACCAGCAGCGTGTCCGCCTGCATCTGGGCGGTCTGCTGGCGCGCCTCCAGCAGCTGGCGCCGAAGTGCTGAGACCTGGAACTGCAGCGAGATGAGATCAACAGCCTTTGTCGGCCGCGACTGACCACCACGATGTCCAACATACGGACACGACGCCACAATAAGGCCAGGGCCGCGGCACACAGCACAGGGAGCCTCCATGGGAGCACCCCGCGCCTGGTTGACCACGCGCGCCCTGCTCACACCATCCCATGATATGCCGCGGCACCGGTGCCCACATTGGAGACACCATAGAGTCTCCGATGGCATGAAGGGCTGCAGGCACACCGCACATTGAGTGAACTCCGTATTCGATATCGTCGGCATCTGCGCATTCGGCCTGAGCCTGAACTGTCTCTGCAGCGCGGACTCAGTGGCATGATATGCCAGTGACGGCACCGCAGTGGACGATGGCATGTCACTGCCATTCTGCGCGTTTCCCCGATCAAACCTTTCGGCCGCTGCACGGGCGCTGGCACGTCGGGCGCAATTGCGTGCCCGCGCCGCAGCAGCCACATTCTTTTGGGACGCCATGCTCGCTTGCAAAGCATGGCATACCCCTCTGACGCCCTCCGCGACAGGGCCAGTTGGCGCCGGCATCGCAACACCAGTTTCATGCACCGGCGCCCCCGCATCCAACGGCGCGGGTTGGTACGCCACGCGCGGCCGCAGCGCGGGATCCACCACGCGCACGGCAGGCAGTCTGTGGAACTCCGCAGTCTCCCTCGCGCACCGATTGGGTGGAACGGCCCCACCAGCACGCCCCCGCCCATTCGTGCCATGGCACATCGGCGCACCCATGGGAAGCGGTGCTGGCGCGCCACGAGGAGATCCTGCCAGGCGCGGGCGCATGCCAAAAAAAAGCACGCATTGGGGTCATCCCGCCGACGCCGGGCCAGGACTCGGGTCGGGCTCCACGGGCACGGCGGCGCCCAGTCCTCCAGCCACCTCTCGAGGCGACCCGCGACGTGTATTCCGAGGGCCCGCATCTACTCGATCGCGCGCTGCTGTTGCTGCTGTTGCTGAATGATGCGTCGCAGCTCGTAGCGGGGATCGCAGTGGGCACATGCTCCGGGCCAATCCCCGGGCCGTGGAGCCGCGGTCGCGGCAAAGAAGGGCTGCCGCTGGTGAAATCATTGGTGTCATCTCGTGGAGTGCTGTCCGTAGCTTAGGGCGAGTCCGTAGTTGTTGCAACCGTTGCCTCAGGTCGCGAGTCGTGACCTCCTGATCTGGCGGCGCGGCAAAGGGCGCGCCGGGGGCATGTTGACTCCCGCGATGGTATTACTGTCACAGTTATCCAGCCCGACAAGTCGGGCGCCCGACACCCCGACAGGTCGGGTGTCCGACGCCCTGCGAAAAAATCCAGCAGACGAACCCTCCCCTCCTCTCCTTCCGGGATGAAAACTCCCAGAACCGCATTTTAACAGGGCAACATGCATCGCCCGTCAAGCTGCCAGCGCATGCAGTCCCAGAGGAGGTCAAGCCCTCCTGGAGCGCGCTGCCAAGCAGTATATGGGATCCTATCAGGTCCTAGGGCACCGCCTTGAAGTCGCTTCGCAAAGTCCTTAAAGTGGCCAAAAGAGGGGAGAGGAAGGCCCGATCAATCAGAACGGGTAGGGAAGGCGCCCAGGAAACGTTCCCCCGCCTCATAATCATAAGGCTTCGCACTGAACACAGGGCTCCAGTGGATGGCGAGAGCGGCCAAAATCTGCGCGGGGGTCTGCGCGACTCCACGATCGGGCACACGGATGCCAGCGAGCGGGATTCGGCGATCAAAGGGGAGCTGGGCCATCTTCTGGATCCGTCTCTGCCGCCTGCGACTGCGATCCATCCTGAATTGATCAGTGAGCTGCCGAGCACAAGCCTGCAAATCAACGCGGGCACGCCGTGCAACTTCACTGTGGAGCGAATCGGACAGGAGCGCGAAGGAGATGGGCGAGATGAGGGAGGTCTTCCTCGCGTCGCGATCGAGGTGGAGGCGTTCGGGGCAGAGAGGATGAGGGCGAAACAGCTTGAGCACGAACTGCCACTGCTGGCGAGACGCTGCACGGGCCACGCTGCGAACCATGAGATAGCGAGCAAGAGGGGAACCAGGACGACGAATAATAGTGGCATCCCGAGCGCGTCGAACACCTTCTGATCTTACCATGATGTAGCGTTGAAGACGAAGAAAAGGGGGGGCGACAGGTACTCGGCAGCATCAAGCGCCATCTGCATGCATCGATTGAAATCCTCGGTCTGAAACAACTCTCGCGGCACAGTGCGCCCCTGCACGGGCGCTTCAGCGTGAACGCGAGGAACCACCACCACAGCGGTGTGACCAGATATACGCTCGGCAGCTAAGAGTTCGGGCTGATCCACCACCTCGCGCCCAGACGCAAATTGGGAAAAACTCCAGCCAGGCAACGAGGTAAACGTTCTGTCAATGAACGAAAGGCGCTTGATGGACGGGTTCAAATGGGCGGGGCGGGCAACTCAAACTCGACCGCATGCCGCAGAGCAGAGCGCCAGTCGCGAGGAAGAGAGCGAGGCTCAAGTTCAACAGCCCCATTCACCAGGCTCGCGTCGGGGTCGAGCGGGATGGGGGCGAACGAGGGCAGGTTGAAGTCCCCAGGAATGAACGCGAGGTGGTTGGCAGGGCCACTTCGAGCGAGGCCCAGGCAATCCCTGATCGAAGCCAGGAAAGTCCGACGGTCAACCTTGCTCAAGCCAAGACTGTAGATGCTGCAATGCGAGATAGAGCACACATCACCCGGCACACTGAACTTAGTGAGAAGCGCTTTTCCAGGGAGGATGGGAGTCGAAGAGATACGGGGTCCCTCAATAGCAAACCGCGTGCGTCTTCCTTGGGAGGGGCGGAAAATAGGATACAGAGGATACAGCGAGAGGGTTCGGACGAAAAGAGAAAGAAGCACGGAAGGGAAAACGTAGATGGCGAAGGAGATCGTTCAACTCAGGCTCGGCCCCATGCACCTACTGCAGGGCTACCATGCTGCCTCGCTGCAGCAGGCGCCTGAGATAACGAATCTCGCGAGCACGAAGAGCGGCGGAGCGACGGTAAAGGGCGCTAGCACCCAACGCGACGACGCGGCAAGAAGAGGAGGACGAGGGAAGAGGAGAGGAAGAGCCGTGCCACAGGGCACAGAAACTGCTAGGAGCTCCACACTGTAGGCTCAGCACCCTGCGCCGCACGCAGGACCAGCGGGGCGACCCCCTGCTGACCGATTCCATCCGTGACGAAATTCGCAGCAGCAAACTCCAGATGCGGCTCCTCAGAGTTCTCAAGCGGAGTGACCTTGATGAGCGGGCGCCAGTTGGTACTGATCTCCCCTCGGTACTTGTCGATGTAGAACTTACGATCTGGAAGATGCGTTTCCAGCGCTTTCCTGACGTTCTTGCACGTGGTTTATTTCTTGACCGTGGCAGCTTTCTTGTCGGAACCAACAAAGAGCTCTGTGACCTCGCTCGTCGTCGAGACAGCTGCGAACTTCCCCCAGAGCCATCCTTGGCCACCGCCCGCGCGCCCGGCGCACAAGTTGGCATGAGCCTGAGAGGTGCGTCGCGCGGGCAATCCAGCAGCACCAGTGATACTGACCGCGTATGTATTGCTTGTCGGTTCGCCTTCCACGAGCAAGCCACCCCCCGAAATGTCACAATCTTCAAACCACGATCGGAGCCCATCAGCGACAGCGGTGGCCGTGACCAGAAGCCGAGAGCGAACGACGATGATGCCCGCGTCAATCTCTCGATCCAAAGAACCTCCAGGGATGAACTGCTTAATGGGCGGCTGTTATTTGCGGACAATCTGAAGCTCCCGTTGCAACTCACAACGGGGAGCGGCAAGCTGTCGTTCAGTCTCTGTAATCCCGGATTCATGCATACGTTGAGCACCTTCGAGACTGGACACGCGCACTCCGTCTGCGTGTGCAGCGTATTGTAGGCGTCATTGACCGCTCTCTGCAAGTTGGCCATGGCGGTAGTGACACTCTCCGTGACGTTACCGACAATCGAGCACGTTCGCCATGCTGGTGTCGACATGGCCCTTGAGCGCGTCGAAGTCACGACGAAGCTCGGCGCCGTCTGCCTGCTTGCGCCGCTTGGCCCCATCATCGCCATGATCAGCACGACGAGGAGAGCCAGGAGGCGAAACGAACTCGGCATTCTGGGTGGGGTAGGTGGCCGCGGCCTCCCAAGCCTCGACCAATCCAGCGTCCAGCCCAGCGCCAGCACGAAAAGGAGTGGGCACCTGCGCAGAGCCATTGCCGTGCATCTCTCGCTTGCGAGGCAAGCGCCCTCAGAGTAACGACAACAAATACTGTGGAGGAGGCCGAAAGGATAAAGCTGGGACGCGCTGGCACCCCAGTTGCCTGAGCGTGGCAACGGATACCACAAAGGCAATCGCTGATTCTCGGGCGTCTATAGCCCTTCACCACGGTTACCCGTGAGCCAAAATGGCTAAGGACCTCCTCCTCCTCCGTCTTCGTTCTCCCCCGCGTGTTCTCCGAAGGGTCTCCACAACGGCTGGGGGAACAAAAAGTCCAATAGCTTAGCCGCGCTCTGGCCGCCAACGGTCGGCCACATAGGATTCCGAAAGGCAGGGGGCAGCAGTGATTCACAGTTGGCGCCTTCAATAATCCGATCTGTTACGTCACTGCTGAGCCGGTTGCTTTGGAGGAAGACATTTCGTCAATGAGGACGCTCACAGTGGCAATAAGCAGCTGGCCATCCGACACGCGACTCGGGCCCCGCGAAAGAAAAGAAGGAGGAAGAGGAGGAGAGGCAAAGGGGACGGAGGGAGAGGGCCGGGATGAGGAAGAGAGGAGAAGGAGGAGGACGACGAGGAGGAGGAGAAGGAGGAGGAGAAGGAGGAGGAGCGGAGGAGGAGGAGGAGGAGGAGGAGGAGGAGGAGGGGACGCACGGGGAAAGGCGGAAGTGGCCTGCTGGAGAGGCCGGGATGATATTTTTCAGAGAGTCGTTGCACCGAACGAGGTAGTTCTTCTGCAGCCTCTTGATGGTCTTGTACTGCGGCACCTTATCCTAGCAGGGGCACAGTCGTGGAGTCTTCTGTTGAAGCTCCTGCTGCGGCCTCTCCCCCTCCCACTCCACGACCTCCTCCTCGCTGGGCGCAAGCCAGGGTGTTACGCCGCTGTGGCACCGATTTGTCAACGGACTCCGCCATGGGAGCCTGCCGTCAAGGACACACGGCGGCGGTGCCTGCGTGGAAGGTCTGCTCCGCGCGAGGGCAATGAGAGGCAGCCGATCGGCCTCGATGCGATCACAGGCTGAACGCTCGTGCGGTGCCATGCCGAAGCCATGTGCATCGGGCTAACATCACGCCATCCCCTTGCATGGCGTTCGCCTTCGCCGCCTGAGCTGGATCAAGCGATCCAGGCGCGAGGATCAGTACCGCCGTGGTCGAAGCAAGCGGGCGCCGAGGTAGTAAATCACCATCAGCAGCAGCAGCAATATCATCGGCAGTGTCATCATCTTTCCCAGTTCCCCATTCTCACCCTCCTCTGTTCCCCCGTTTTGTTGTTGCTCTTCCACATCCTCCTCCTCCGTTCCCATCCTCCTTGTCCTCCTCCTCCTCATAATTCTCCTCCTCCTCTTCCTCCTTCTGACACCTGGCACATGATGGCTGCATTGCTGTCTGTCCTCCTCCGCCTCCTCCTTCATAGCTCTCAAAGGCTAAGGGATAAAGTGGAAGTGGATGGAGGAAAATGGGTGAGGAGAAACGAGCTCGAAGAAAGGACAGGGGACACGGTACAGCACCACAGCGCTCGCAGGAGCATCAAACAACAGAGCGGTCGCAGGAGCATCTGCGAGCACCAGCAGCAAAAGTAACTGGGGAGAGGGGATAATCGGCAAAGGGAGAAGGAAGAGGGAAACACGACCTGGATCGAGAGCAGAAGCCATGGGAAGGACCTCAGCCTACCATGAATGAAAAAGATGAGGGAAATCAGCTTTAAGATGGGTAAGACGAAGAGAGGTGAGGTCCAGGAGGAGCATCGGAAGAAGGCTGGTGCACAGCAGGAGGATGAGCACGTAGCAGAAGGAAGGGGCGACGGCAAACCTGGGTCCCACGCTCAACTACCGATCCTGGTGCATATGTTTCTGCTCGCGGGGAACATATCTGCTACAAGGTGCCACGTGTCTCAGCAGTCGTGGCGACACACCACCTGTGCACAGGAGATCTCGAGGAGCCCCAAAGTGAGAACGGGCTCCGAACTCAAGAATCCCGAGGAAAAAAAAGGGGGACGAAAGAGGGAGGGAGGGCGCCGAGAGGACGCTTGAGTATCGATTACGGCAACGGGAGACATGATTCGCACAAAACACCCTTCACCTTCCCGCGCAAGCACACACAGGTGCACATGTTTCTGTTCGCGGGGAACAGATACGCGAACTACAAGGTGCCACGCGTCGCAGCAGTCGTGGCGCCACACCACCTGTGCGCAGGAGATCTTGAGGAGTCCCAAGAATCCCAAACTCGAAAAATCCCAAACTCGAAACCCGAAAAATCCCAAACAGGAGATCTTGACCTGAACGGGCTCCGAGCTCAAGAATCCCAAACCCGAAAAGGGCGACCCAAGACCGAGTCGGTTCACGGGGCGGGCGGGAGAGGGCACAGACGAGAAGCCGCCCGACGGTGCCAGGGCAACCCTACGGGGAAGCGAGGGCGTCGCTGGCGTGGGGCAGCAGAGCGCGCACCACAGCATTGGAGAGGGACGGAGGGTAAGACGCGGCTGCAGCCGTCAATTCACGCCCAGGCAGAACCGCCCCCTCCGGCACAAACTGCCTTCTACAAGTTCTACTGCAAAACCCGTCTACACTGGCACACCGCCGATCGAGCTTCTGAGACTCTAGAGAATCAATACACGCCGGTCTGAAGAAGCAGGTAGAAACGTGAAGTAGGAAGGCGAAAGAAGTAGATCACGTTCGGCCCCCCCAAAAAAAAGAATAAACAGCAACAACGAAAAATACAAGAAGTAGATCAAAACATTCCGGACCCTGTCTTAAGGGCGGGCCCCTCGGCTGGCCCCATTCCCTGGCTGGTTTTGGCTGTATTTTTGTTTTGCTTGTCCCGAAGCTGCACTGGTCGCCCCGGGCTCGCCTGCCGCCCTTTGGTCGCTCGGCCCTCGGCTGGCCCCGTTCCCTGGCTGGCTCTGGTTCCTCCTCCTCCTCCTCCTCCTCCTCCTCCTCCGCCGCCTCCCTCTCCTCCTCCCTCTCCTCCTCCTCCTCCTCCTCCTCCTTCTCCTCCTCCTGCATCTCGTCTCTTTCCTGGCAGACTGGGTTCTTTCCCGGTAGACTGTGTTTTTCCACGGCGCGTCGCCGGGAAAGAGTCCAGTTTGGCGTGGCTTTTGCGAGGAAGTCTCGCGCGTCAGTTTTCGGAGGTGTCGTTGTTACCTTATACGGTTGGCACCTTAGTTTCGCGGGGGATGCGCCAGGAAAGAGTCCAGAAGTGACTACTACTACTACTACTACTACTACTACTACTACTACTACTACTACTACTACTACTACTACTACGACTACTATTACTGAAACTACTACTACTACTACTACGACCACTACTACTACTACTACTACTACGACGACGACGACGACGACGACGACTACTACCACTACGCCTACTACGACTACTACGACTACGACTACGACTACTACGACTACGACTACTACTACTACTACTACTACTACTACTACTAGTACGACCACTACTACTACGACTACTACTACTACTACCACTACTACTACGACGACTACTACTACTACTACTACGACTACGACTACGACTACGACTACGACTACGACTACGACTACGACTACTACTACTACTACTACTACTACTAATAATAATACTACTACTACTACTAATAATAATAATATTAAGAATAATAATAATGATAATCCTCCTCCTCCTCCTCCTCCTCCTCCTCCTCCTCCTCCTCCCCTTTTCACTCCTTCGTTATCCACCTATTCGTCTTCCACCTCGTCCTGCTCCCTGGCAGCGGCGCCTCCTTCTCCATGGCGCCGCGGCAGGACTGCAGCTCGCGCGAGCACGCGCCGCGCGGTCGCCGCGCTGGGGAGAGCCAGCTCTGCGCGACCAGAGCGCGAGGCGGAGGGCCAGCACGGGGGGGGGCCCAGAGAGCATCGCTCTGCGGCACGCCCGCGCAAGAGATCGACCGGGGGATCGACCACGGCGGGTTTGGGCGGCGACGGCGCGCGCGAAGGAATTTGACACCGCGTCGATCGCTGAACCTTGAACCGATCGCAGCCCCGATCGGTCAAGTCGGGTCGAGTGGCGTTGTCGTGTCCATCGGTGCTTCCGCGTCGCAGAATTCAACCCTGAACGCCTCCGCCGGCGTCGCCAGCGCGCCAACGTCGCGCCAACTCACCGTACATAACATATGAACCTTTGAGATTGTAATTAACTTTCGCCGAGTCTTCGAACAGTACGCTGAAACTTTATGAATCTGCGAATATTCTACATATGTCCCGCTGGCTGGAGGAAGATTTAAATTTTGGGATAAATCGACCATGTAGTCGACCCCCTTCTCGAAGAGAGGAGCGGGGGAGGGAAAAGGGCACACGCACAGACTCCCTCGACACCGCTGACCGCAACGTAACACATGCCGAATCATATGAAGAGGGCTCACACAAACGTAACCCGCCGACACCATGAGGCGCGCGCAACATATTTCCGCACCAAGCTCCATGACTCCGCAATCGCCCAGTCTTCCTGCGTCTCGCCCCCCCAAACCCATGCACATCAGCACACACGAAGCCCCGTTGACGCCACCCCACCGTGCAATTTCTCGCTCTGATCCGACCCCGTCCCAGACCCTCCCGCCAGCACCCGAATCCTCGCCGACTGCTGACCTTGGGCCACCCCATCACGCAATTGCAATTTCTCGGTCGGCCCTGTTACCCAGGCCCCCAGGAGCTGTGTTCTTAGGACCCCGCACCCTGCA